ATATATATATATATATATATATATATATAGGGAAGGGTTATTTGGAAAACAAAAAACCCTAAAAATCATTAAAATGCATAAAAAAATACTTAGAGATCACAAAACTTTTTTTTGAATTTTTTTATCAAAACATCGCAGCATTTTTTACAATTTCGCTGAAAAAAAATAAAAAATCAATTTTTTCTTTTTTTTTTGTAAAAAAAATATTTTTTCAAAATATTTTTTCAACGATTTTGACCTAAAAGTTGCGATTTTTTGATAAAAAAATTCAAAAAAAAGTTTTGTGATCTCTAAATATTTTTTTTTTTATGCATTTTAATGATTTTTAAGGTTTTTTTAGGGTTTTTTGTTTTCCAGAGAGAGAGAAAAAAAGAGTGTACACTTTCTCTCTTAAGGCTCTTTTAGAATTAATTTAGGACTTCACAAATCTAACCGAGGGACTTGAAACATCTAGCTGAATCTCATCGAGCCTCTGTTTCTTGGGTGTGTTAGTGTCCCATATCGGCGAGTTCTCTTTTTATAATTGCAAGCTTCATGAAACAAATATTGAAGTGACGCCTGATATATGGATGCTTCTTTTTGATTTTATACAAAAAATGACTTCACTGATAAAGTCAGAGGAATGACGTTTTGAGTTGTTTTCCTATTAAATCCCAACCTTTTCCAATTTCTCAATCATTTCTCAAATATTTTTTAAACATCATTCGACAATACTTCGTTTAGATAACACTTGGTGGAAAGAAAATACAACTAAGATTGTAACCTTCCAGAATCAGCTCAAGAGCATACGCGGTGTTCGGTGTTATTCTTATGGTCATGGTTATGTCTTTTTCACATATGTTAAATAAAAAACAGTCTATGTCCCATCTTGTTTCACCTTTTTGGAAGAGAGAAAAAATTACACTTTTTTCCTTATCCACAATGAGTTCAGAATCCAATCCAATATACATCAAATGCATTTCAAACTATTCTAGATATGCGATAAACATAGGTTTCCTCATCATTTAGTATCTTCATTCATGTTTATTGTATTTAAGCACTTATAAACACTATTCATGTAGATTTGATATAACATTGATGATATAACTATAAAATTTAATCAACATAACATTTAATTGACAATTCACACAATCCTGAAACAACAAAAAAAGACAAGATTTGGTTTCACAAAATTCCCATTCTACCCTCCCGAAAGAAAACAAAAATAAACAATATCCCCAACCCTCTAAAACAGCCGGGGTTCTTCAATAACCAGACCACACCTTATGAGGCTGTTTTTTGTTTGTTGTTGAAACCTTTACAATCTTGAAAAACAAAAAACCGAAAAAAACATGGACAAAAACGCAAAATGACGATAATACCCACACTTAAATCTTCCCATTGTCCCCCGGTTCACGGTTTTCTTCATCGAACCTTGGCAGGGTTAGTAATGTGTTCAACCGAGACACCCCTTCAAGGGCAGACCAGTCTTTTCCCGTTTCCACATTCATGGTGGATGATGACTCTTCTTCCTCCACGTTCTTCCCCGGGTCCCGCTTTGTTGCTGACGTGTCCAATCCGAGAAAAAGACAAACAACCGCACAGTCATCGACTTTAGAAGTCGGATACTTTTGCCTCCAGGCTCGAACCGCTGACTCCACCACGGCTTGAGCCGCTTGAGAAGGTGCATCGGTTGATGCCACAATTTCAATCACTTCTTCATTTGTAAGCACATCCCAAATCTACTCAAAATAAATAAATAAATAAATAAATTGTTAGTTAACTTATCTGAATGGTGGTTGTTTCTTTTTGACTTAATACAGAAAGAACGAGTTACCAGAAAAATAAAATCTACACAGTTTTTTATAGCCATAGGGTAACATCATCTAAGTAGTTTGAATTTTGAAAACACTTGATGGTATGCAAAAACCCTTTATTGCATTATTATACTTTCATTTTTTTCTTCTTAATACAACATTGTACGTGCATTGTAGTTTGAAAAATCTACACAATTATTTATAGCAACAAGGTAAACCGGTTTGAAAGGTAGCAGGTTACCGGTTACCCTGCTGCTATAAAAAATTGTGTAGATTTTTCAAAGCACAACGCCCTCATAAAAAAATAATTTGCACGTACAATGTTGTAATACGAAGAAATGAAAGCACGATGATATAAACATTTTTTTTGGAAACGAACATTGCCATTTCTTCCGTTTAGACGAAACATCATTTATTCAGAAATGACTTAATGGGAAATAAAAGAGGGGTTGAGTAATAATACCCCATCTGTTGCCAAGACAATAAATTCGTCTTTATCAGTTAAGCGTCTATATGAGACTTCAGGGACAGAAATGAGACCAAAATCTTTAAGACAAAAATCACCAAAAGCACGAGCCATGGCTAACCCTGGTGAGTCATGGTTAGGTAGCCAAACCCTAGCCACTTCGGGTTCATCCTTCAAGGCGAACACGCGCCCCTTACATTTACGGATACGCTCCGCTTCCGCTGTATTATGTTAAAAAAACATCACTAAATATGCAAGAAATAGCAACCTACTTTCATTCATTTATGTATTACAACACTCTTTTTGACATGAAAGTCCTTACGTTTGTTAAATTTTGTTGGTTTTGTCCGTGTGACGATTTTTTGTTCGTTAATGTCCAAAGTTTGCCTTTTTTTTTTTTGTTACATGTAATAGCAGGTTTCTAGGGACGAAACCGACAAAATTTGAGAAACTTAAGGACTTTCATGTCAAATTTGGAGAACATAGTTAGGGTAAGAACATAAAAGATTTGTAAACTTAAGGGTTTTTGTTTGCAAATTTGTAAACTTAAGGGCAAAAATGAAAAAATCTTGGTAAACTTTAGGCATTAACGCACCTAAAATCGTCGTAGGTACAAAACCATCACATTTTGACAAACTTAAGGACTTTTAAGACAAAAGCTATTTTCTTATTAAGGCGTTGTATGTTGGGGAATCTATCCGATTATAGCATTGTACTTTTTTTTTTCTTATTGAAGATTGGTTTGTATTTGGATGACATTTCTATAAATTGATTGATTTTTCAAAGTATAATGATGTAATAGGAAGAAATGAAAGTAAGATGCTATAAATATAATAAACAAATCAATGGAAGTAAACTATTACTAGTTGCATTTAATTAGGAAGATTTTTCAAAATATAATGATTTAATAGGAAGAAATGAAAGTAAGATGCTATAAATATAATAAACAAATCAATGGAAGTAAATTATTACTAGTTGCCTTTTAATTAGGAAGATTTTTCAAAGTACATTATTTAATAAGAATAAATTGAAATTAGAAAGAAATGAAAAAAGGATGCTAAAATATACAAATAAATGAACCTATAAAAGTACGTTGCTATTTCTTGCTTTTATATTTCTTTAAATATGCAATTCTTAAAGAGTCCATTGTAAACAAAGAGAAAAGAGAGTGAAACCTGGAAGATTTGGTTTTAGATCCACTGTCAATTGAACTGCAACACGAGAGTCGTCTTTGTCTCTTGTGCATAATACAGCTCTCGAGTCCCCAATGTTTCCAATTATAAGATGTTGACCCTATAACCAAACAAGAAACCCTTTTTTAATTATATTCAAAACCCTAAAGGCAAGACAGAGCAGGCTGTACTGTGTTTGTCATAGACATAGACATAGACAAAGACAAGACATGACATGACATCACATGACATGACATGACATGACATAACATAACATAACATAACATAACATAACATAACATAACATAACATAACATAACATAACAGGTTGTACCGTATTTGACATGATGTGAATAGGACAAAAAGTTGCAATTTTTGTCCAACCCAAAAAGGTGTGAATGTGAAAGAGACTTTTTCTTAATATCTTGTAAGTGAAAAAGACGTGAATGCCCTCCACATCCTGAGAAATGACATCTCACCTGTTTGATCAAAGTGACTGCGGTTGTCCCACTGCAAAAGCAATCAATATTTGCATACATACTCAACTCTCTATCCATCACTTTGAACGCCTTCAAAAATGATTCCTTTAGGGTTTGAAAGATTTCAGGGTTCTTATCGGTTTCTTCAAAGGGTGAAGGTGAATTAATGGATGTCCCTTCAGAGTTGAGGCTTCCCATGATGATCTCTTTAAGAACATCATTGCTATCTTTAAGGTTAACTTCCCAATGTGCACTTAGCTTTAATGGAAGTGAATCTCTCACCCTCTTAGCAACCTTATGACCTAATGGCCCATGTCCATCAAATACACCACAAAACACTGTGTCTGTTCTTGACCCAAAATTCTGAAAAAGGTTACAATTTTAGAGAAGAAAAAGTCAAATAAGTTAATTTAAAAGAAATCAAAGGGGAAAAGAAAACCAAACCTCCCAAACAATCATGGCATCTTGATTGGTTCCTTTCTTGCCTTGTTGAGTAAAAAGAGAAGCAACTTGACTAGAACCATTCAAGCACATTCTCCCTGCAACTCTATGGAGTTGTTCTTCCCTTCTATGATCAAATGAAGAACTCCTTAATCCAGGTGGCCTTTTTTTTGAATTCTTTTTCTTTTTAATCCCAAGACTTGGAGTTGGAGAATTTGGGATAGGGCTCCTGCTTTCTACAGAAAAGCAGGACCCCATCCTCAGGGCCCTGATGATGCCTAATATGCACTCCAGACCAGCAAACGAAACAAACACGCGGTTATTGATTGAGGAATCCGTTGTAGATCGTGTGGGAAACACCAATTTCACCTTCAAATTAACAATCGAAAACTCCATTAACACGATTCTTTTGAAGGAAATTAAGAAATTTTCGTAAAATTTGAGCATACCCAGTTGTAGTTTTAAGCGATAAGTTCTTGAAATCAACAATTGAAAACCTTACATACACAATTCGCTTGAAATAAGTCGGCAGTATTTTTGAAGGTACCAATTACAGTTAAGCGACAGAGAGGTTGAAATCGACAGCTCAAAACCCCCAAAAAAAACATTTCTCATGAATTAAACCGATTGAATTAATCGACAAAGTGCTCGAAATGAACAAGTTAAAACCCAGAAAGAGAATTCTCATGAATTAAACCAAGATTTTTCTTTTCAATTTGAAAAATAGTCAATTGTAATTAAGCGAAGAATAACTCAGTAGTACGATTTCCAATCCCTTTTAAAGATATATACCAGAAAAATGTGTGTACCTGATTAAAGCTATCACAAAGGAAGCAGATCCAACTTGGAAAAACGTAAATTACACTTCGCGCTTCCTCTAAATGTGAAGATCAAAGAGTTAGGGAAAAAGTTGGAATCAATGGATCCAACTTTTTCACTAGTAACCCACCAACCAAAACCAATCTGCTTGAAGCTTTAATAGATTGCAAATTCTACTGGATATTTCAATGAAACGTTGTTCGCTTTGCAGTGATGTCAACTAAGAAATCAACTCGAGTTTAAAGTTCAAAGGAGCTGGTGATCAATTAATAACCTCCCTAGATCGAATTGTTTTGTGATTGGAACAATGATGGACCCCTTTTTATATGTTAAAATAGAAATTGGAAAGGATAAGCAAGTTACTAGAATCCAGAGGATTTTTTTAGGGTGGTCGGTCAAACACAGAAAATCGACACGGTATATTGGTCGCGTAAGGGGGCTTGCAACAATGAATTACAATATACTAAAAATGTCTTAATAATAAAAGTGTTATTTTACATTCAATCACTAAAATAAATTAGCTTAATGTTTTTTTTTATAACAAAGATAACATATAACATCTATAAATTACAAGATGCTCGTAATAATGATTACCAATTTACACATAATCTTCAATTATCACAATCTTTTTACTCATGATAGGAGGATCTTCAGAAATAACATTACAACACTCATCCTTAATGCTAATAAATATTGTAGGCATTTTGTTTGTGATAGGATGTTTACCACCCCGTGCCTTATAATTATTAAATTTTATGTAGTAGCTAATCATCTAGTAAGTGGTTGGGAGGCTTTCATTACCTTCCACTTCCATGTGTTTCTACTGACTATTAGGCTGGTGTAAGTAGTATTGATGGTGCTAAATTCTACTTAAATGGTGTCATTTTACCATGAGAGAGAGGCTTTGCCATGGAGGCTGGCGTTGCACATCTCAACAAAGGCATGTCACATTACCTTTGTCGTCCCATTCCGAACAACTTTAGGATGTGTTTTTAAGTGTCCATTTGGTTAGTTTGATGAGTTGTTGAAGAGATATAACAATCCGTTCTTTAGTATTTTATGATGATTCAACTTTTATCCGAAATTTGAGGTTTGAAGTTTCAATCATAACAATTTTCAATAATAAAAGATTAAAAATCATAACATTTTGAATTATTTTTTGAGATCACATTAAAATAGTAAGATGAATAACCACTTAACATGTTTTTTTTGAATTTGGAGATAAAAAACTTCTGGTATATATTATAAAAACTAATATTTCTTTAAATTGAAATTTGAATCCTTATAAAACTGATTTTTAAAAAAAAAAAACTTACCAAAGCCCATAAACTTTCATGGCATTTGGAGAATTTTTTGAGGGGGTTTTATAAAAAATAAATATTTATTTAAAAAATTATTTCCTAACTATATTTATATCGTAGAAAATTAAATTTTTGAGAATTCTGGGTTTTTAATTATATTAGAAAGAAAAAAAAATGTCTGAAAAACAAAATGAGTGAAAAAAGAAAAGGTTTTTGGTAGTAAGGAGGCGACACATGCTAAATGTAGAGCAGGGCGCATACCAACTCGAAAATTATGATTTTTTTTTCATATTTATTTTTACCCTTCAAACATTTAACATTCGCCGTAAAATCCTAAAATCTCATAAACTGATATTTCTTTAAATCGAAAGGTGAACCGTTATATATATA